AGAAACCCTGTCTGAGAATGTTTTGAGTCACAGCATGCTTATAAGCTTGACAAAAGAAAGAATTTTCAAAAAAAAGTAAGGTTGACCCTTGAACAACACGTGTTTGAACTGCATGGGTCCACTTATATGCAGATTTCTTTCACTAAATGCTTACTACATGATCCATAGTTGGTTGAAACCACAGATGTGGAGCCATGCATACGGAAGGCTGGCTGTAAAGTTATACTAGGATCTTCGACTGCTTGGCGGGTTGGCTTCCCTAACTCCTGAGTTGTTCAAGAGTCAACTGTATTTCATATTATTTATTATATGGCACTTATTATATGCCAGGCACAATTCTAAATGTTCTATGTACATTGACTTTCCCACAACAACCCTTTGAGGTGGCTACCATATCCATTATACAGATGTGGAAACTGAGGCTCAGAGAGAAGCTGAGGGACTTCCTTGGTGGTCCACTCGTAAAGAATCCGCCTTCCAATGCAGGTAATGCGGGTTTGATCCCTGGTGGGGGAACTAAGATCCCACATTCCACAGGGAAATTAAGCCCGTGCGCCACAACTACTGAGCCTGCACGCCACAACTAGAGAGAGGCCCATGTACTGCAATGAAGAGCCTGCACACCACAACGAAGATCCCACATGCTGTGACGAAGAACCGATGCAGCCAAAAAAAAAAAAAAAAAGGGAGAGAGAGAGAGGCTGAGTGGCTTAGCTGGAAGTAGCAGAGCTGCCCTTGAGCCAGGCAGCCTCCCTTTGGAGCCTGTGCCTTACCCACTGGCTCTTCTGCCCAAAGGAGCCCTTGCATCAGTGTCTTAACGTTATTAGAGAACCTAGCTTTTCTCAGCCCAGCGTAGGGCTTTTTGTCCTTTGCCAGAGCAGGAGGGCCGACGTCTCGAATAATCACTCAACTTTGGAAAAGTTGCTTCCTCTAAGAATCAACTAATTAAAACATTTTTCTTGTCTTGACACTTCTGTTCTCAAAGCAGTTTCTCTTTTTCTGTCTTTCTGTATCATTCCTGTATTTAATAATTATATATACATGTTACATGTACATATGTGTTTATGTCAAGAAACATAAGTGTATGCTTGTGTTCCTAATTTGGAATATTTTGACTAATGGGTATGCCAAATAAAATAATAAATAGCTTTTGGAATTAAACTGTAAACACAGGAAGACTTTCCCACCCAGCTCAACAAACACAATAATCCCCATAAATACAACCACTGGGAGTTAAATAAATAAAAGAGAAGAATAAACACAGGGCATGTAACTTAACTAGATGGCTATTTGCTGTCGCCAGATGTTAAGTCTGGACCAACATTAGGTAGTGACACGAAGAGCAATGATCATTGCAATGAGCTGCCTGCAAGCACTGGCACTGGTGTGTGTTGGGCAGTAGAGGACGCTGCCGCCGCTGGACATTTTCCCTTTGTGGATATCAGCCATTGGTGAGGGCTGTCACTGCTGGACATTAGGTACTGATAAATATGAGGTATCAGTGGACATTTGCTCCTTGGTCAAATTAGCCCACACAGAACATTGAGCATCAGTGGGCAAGCCCTGTTAGCCTACGGTGACCTCTACTGTCTTGGTGGGCGTTAGGTACGAGTAGAGGTAGGCCTCTGCCCCCCACATGCCTGGCAGTCTTGTCCAGAGAAACATCCTATGAGCTGGTCTGGAGGCAGTTGGTAGGTGTTAGTATCTCCATTGCCATCTGTCCTCTCTCTCCAAGAGGGCAACCCTTTGGCCCCTTGGCCATGACAATTTGGGGAAATCAGGGGGTGGTATGATAACACCCATGGAGGGAAATTGCTGGATTCGAAAGAGTCTAATCAGCTCCCTGAGCTACAGAGGGTTTGGGTTTCATACAAATCCATACAGATGCTCTTTTGCCATATTGACCAACACAGGGCGTTTGCTTCTTCCTTCTCTGTAATGGTACGATTAAAGCACAGCAGGGCTGGCTTCATGGGCAGTGGGACCTTAGAAGGGTCCCATGCTTGGTTTAAGGCTCTGCTCTTGCCATCTTGAAATTCTTAATAATTTTGAACAAAAGACCCCACATTTTCATTTTATCCTAGGTTCCACCAATTATATCGCCAGATCTGAAGCACAGAATCCTGGCCATGTGGCCACGTCATCTGCCATGTGACCTTGGGCTGCTCCTCTCTGGGCCTCCATCTTCCCATCTGTGAAATGGGGCCAGGAGGGGAAGGATTTTATCTTTGGCTTTTCATGCTCTAGGATCTAGAATCCATGGTCTGATTGGAGATACTTAGAGCTGCGTAACTCCACCCCCCCTTTTTTTCCAACAGAAAAATAAATGGAGTCCTAGTGTTTTTGGTTTCTTAGAGCACCTCTGCCCTCTCTGACACATGTGATCTGCACAGCTGGCCCGGTCACTGAGGTAGGACATTCAGGAATGAGAGACTTGCCATATGACAGATGAAACCAGGCACAGTGCTTTCCTCAGCTGTACGGTGACAATAACATCCAGGGCAGTTGTGGAGAGGAAATGATAGCATGCACACCAAGTCCAAGGACATGTGCCCAGTAAACGGCAACTGAATTATTAATGAAGTGCAGTGAAATGTTTGTGACCCAGCCTGTGCTATGATGGCAAACTGTACACAGATGTTTCCCCATCTCTAAAACTCAACTGACATGTGTGTTGAAAGCCTATTCCGTGTTAGGTACACAGGGCAAAGATCCTGAAAACTATACTATTGTTCCTCAATTCTACCATCCTAAAGCTTTACAAAATCCTTCAGTTCTGCATCCGTTATCAAAATGTGAGTCTAAGACTACACGTTTCTGTAATCTAATTCATAATTCAGTGGTTGCATGAGGGAGGAAACAAGCGTTTCTGGACTGTCTATTTTGTGCCAGGCACTGTACTTGATTCTTTACAAATGTTACTTCCTTCATACAATCCTGTGCAGGGAGATATTTTCATCCCCTCTTCCAGGCTTAGAGAAGTAAAGTGACTTGGCCAAAGTCACACAACCGGCTCGTGATGGACCAGGATTTTAACTCTTTTCTGGGAACTCCAAAACGGAATCTTTGCACTAACCTCTGTAATTCTGTAAGATTCCAATGACCTCATTCTCGGTCCCGGGATTCCAGGAAGGCGGAGGGTGGCCGGATGAAGGCGGTCGGCGAGGGGAAAGAGGGGCTGGCTCCGCAAACTGCGCAGGTCCACTTTGGCCTCCAGAGGCCCTGGGCTCCGCGATCTCTTTGATCTGGGGTGTCTGGCCATGCGTGAGCACGAGGTGGCGCTGCGGGCTGAGAGCCTCCGGAGGGGCCGCGGGCCGCCTGCCCCGCGGGGCTTCTGCTTTCTCTACAGCACGCAGGGGCTGCGGGTGTGCGAGGTGATGCCCCCACCAGGAAGGAGAAGCCCGCACGGTGTGGCGGCGTCTGCCCACCCTCCCGCTGGAGCTTCACCCCCGCCCCGTTTTGCAAATGTGGAAGCTGCAGCTCAGGGTGGAGGTGAACAGTTGTCCCGGCCTCCCTTCCCCTACTTTCAGCGCCACTAAAGTTTAAGACCCCTATGTTCCATGGCCCTCCCCAAGGACGCCTTCTTCAAGTGGGGCTTTAAAGCCCCACTGGGTGAAAGTCCCAGGGATCTCTCCCTCACCCCTGTATTTGAGGACTCTCTTGTCCCAAGGCATGTGGGAGGATGGAGTACCAATCTGAGGACTGTGAAGGCTGGGGTCTCACTCTGACCCTCCCTTGTCCCCCAAACTTCAGATCCTTCCCATATTGGCGGGGGCCAGCCTCTGGCTCAGGGAGCTCAAGCCCTGGGGGGCCTAAGCCACGTGATGGGCAAGCACCCGAACCCTACCCATGGCCTGAATGTCCTGGGATCTGTGCCATTGTTCACCCATGACCCCTCTCAAGTGCCAGCCACCTCTGTCCAGGTCCACTTGTCCTTCTCAACTCCATGGATGAGCCTCCTCCAGGGAGCCTTCCTAATCCCACCACAGGGCTCTCACAGGTCCCTGTACTGCTCTTATAGTTAGGTGTCCTCCATGTGTCCTTCCCCCTCCCACCCCAGGAACATGAGTCTCAGGGCACAGAGTAGACAGCAGGAAAATCTTGGTGGTAGTGATGGTGATGGATATTCCTGCAGTTCTTGGCTAGTTAGAAGGAAGAACTTGCTGACAGCAGAGCCATTCAGATGAGCTGGAAGTGGGATCCCTGTCACTGGAAGTGTGCAAACAGGAGTTAGGATACCACAGCAGTCAGATGCCAAGAAGGAACACAGTACTGTCGGAGCTCAGCGGAGGGAGGTGGACGGGGACTTCAGGGAAAGCTTCTAAGGAGATGAGGTGGGAACTGGGTCTGTTAGGCTGGGAAGGAGTTGAGAGGCAGGGATGGGGGCAAGGGTCAGGTCCCAGAGTAACAGCCTGAGCAAAGGCAGAGGCATGCAGGGCCTGACAAGTTCATGGAGATGGGGCGTCAGGGAGAGGGGAAATGAGGAAGGCAGGCAGTGTTAGCTGCAGTGAAAGGTGCCACCCACCCCCGAGGAACTCCCTCCCTCATGTCACCTCACTCCCCTAATCCTGGGAGGTTATTGGGCTTTTCAGAGAGAACAATCTTGTCTCAATTCATCCTTATGGCCCCATGGCCCAGTCTAGGGAATGTCAGTGGATGCTGGTCAAATGATGGGAAGAGGGCCTCTTTATAGTGTTTATTAAACCAAGGACCAGGTGTTGGGTAGGGCCGGTGGGGGAGGACAGAGCTCTCACTGTCCTGTGGGCGTCCCTGTGGGACCAGCCCCCTGACGCCCACATGGCCAAGTATGGCTGGCTTTCACCCAACGCCTCCTCCCCCAACCCATCCCCAGGACACAATATTACAAAAGTGAACAAATGCAATGTCTTTCTTCTTTTACAAATGGCATGTTTCCATCCCCTGCCAGCAGGGACGGGGCGGGGGATGGGGGGGGGGGGGGGGGGGGGGGGGGGTGGGGGTGGTTTGAAAGTGACAGTCCATTAAAAAGGCAACAACTTTTATTAACCCCATGCTAAGGAGAGAGCCCAGGGCTGGGAAGCTGAGATGCCACCCTGGTGGCGGAGCATAAACATGGGTGGGATCTCCCCTACCTCCTTCACTGCATTCTCAGTAGGATGAGCTGGGCTGTCGGGCATAGGGCCAGTCGGGTCTGAGGGAGCTCAGGAGCTCAGGGCCTGGAGGGGCTCCAGGACTGCATCTAGAGGCAGTACCTTAGGGGTCAATGGGCGCATTTCCATTCTTGATGCTGGGGGACGCCCCCCCCCCCAGAGTGGGAAACTGGCAGGGCTGGGACTGGTATCCCTGAGGCTTCTAGAGGCTCCGAGGTGAACTGACTTAGCCTGTGCCACAGCCGGTTACTGGGCCCAGAGTGCCACCCCCTAGGCCCTGGTCTCTCCTCCTGGGGACGACAGGGAAAGGGCACAAATGGCAGGATGTGAGTCTTGGAAGCAAGGGGGAGCCCAGAAAGGGGAGAGGGGAGAAAAGTGCAAAGGGGCCCTGCTGGGAGGCTGGACATTGGGTCCATTCACGCTTCTGCCACTGTAGGACCTCAGAATAGCATTTTTCCTTCCCTCGGCCTGAGTTTCCCCATCTGGCACATGAGGAGGTGGACTAGAGTTTTTTCTCCAGTCCTTTCTATAAAGTTCTATCCAGAGTTCTAGGGGAAGAAAAAAGGATGAAGTAGCCCTCACATGCCCAGAGCAAAGAGAGGGCTGTGTCGTAAAAGAAACCCATGCCTGAGTGTCTGGACCTCTGCCCCGCAGCACTACCTCCCGCCCGCCCTCCTGTCATGGGTCAGGTTGGTCCAGGCCTCAGGGAAGGCACTTTGGGGACAAGTAGGGAAGGACAGCAGAGGACTGCTGTCTGGTTTGGCATCGAAGACCCTCAGCTTATGGTCTGGAGAGCAACATAGACAAACGGGCAAAATCTTGCTCCTGGGTGTGGGTCCCAGGTCCAAAGCCTCTCTTTCAATGATGCTGCCACACAGGCCTACAGAGTCCCTGCTGGCATTGGCACGTTAAAATATAAATTACCCAGGACCCGAGGGAGCCCAGGGCAAAGTCTGTTACATGGCCCCAGGCCACACCATTCGTCACAAGGTATCAGAGCCCCCAGCAGCTAATTCCTGGGTGTCTATGCAGTGCAGGGCCACCTTGGGGGTGGAGCCAGGCTGCCTCGGGTAGGTGCCCTCCCACACCAGGCGCCGGCACTGCACGCCCTGGCCCACGCTGATGCTCTGCAGCGCCGGGAGGTGGAGAAGCAGCTTCTCGGGCAGGGGCACCAGGCCCGTGCCTGACAGGTCCAGCTCCTGCAGGGAGCCCAGGCCTGAGAACACCTCGGGTCCTGCCCACTTGAGCTTGGGGTTGCTTGACAAATCCAGGACCTGCAGGCCCTGCAGCTCACGGAAGCCATAGGGCACCAGCTGGGGGAGACGCTGCAGGCTGCCCAGCGACAGGTGTGTAAGGCCTGCCAGCCCCTCGAAGGCCCCTGGGCCAATGGCCGCCAGTGGGTTCCCGTCCAAGCTCAGGTAGCGCAGGGGCAAGTCCCGGAGGTCGGGCACGGTGTGGAGCCGGTTCCAGGCCAGGTTCAGGCTCTGAATGGTGGGCGCCGGCAGGCTGGCCCGCGCGGGGTGGGGCACGAGGCTGTGGAGGAGGTTGTGCGAGAGGTCCACGTGCAGCGCCCTGCCCTGGCTGTGGGTGGCGAAGGCGGACACAGAGACCTCGCGGAGCCGGTTGTGGCTCAGGTTCACGTCGCTCAGGGGCGAGCTGGTGAAGCTCTCGGCGGGCAGGGCGGCCAGGCCATTGTGGCTGAGGTCAAGAGACTCCAAGTAGCGAAGGCGGGAGAAGGCCGTGGGCGAGAACCTGGTGAGCAGGTTGTGGCTGAGATCCAGGCCGGCCAGCGTGGTGTAGCCCGGGCCTGCCAGCACGGACTCGTTCACCGTCTCCAGCCGGTTGGAGGACAGGTCCAGGTGGGCTGTGTCCAGGGGGATGGGCACGGGCACGATGTGAGGGCCCAGGCCGCTGCAATCCACTCGTGTCAGGCTGAAGCTGTCGAAGAGGCCAAAGGTCTCCACCTCACACTGGCACCCAGGGAAGCAGGGCCGGGTGGTCTGGGCCTCACCGGCGGCCAGCAACAGCAGCAGGGGCCACAGCATGGTGTGGGCTAGAAAGAGAGCCACAGGTGAGGGCTGGTGCCAGGCACCCCATACCAGATGGTTCTAAGCCACCCCGTAAGACACCAGCTGATGTGTGCAGGCACAGCTGCAAATTGCCACCAGCCCCTTAGTGCCCCCAGACGCTTTCCCTGAATGCCCCTCCTTATATGATCTCTAGTCCCTATTCCTCTCTGGCCTTAGTCTCCCCATCTGTATGGTAAAGGGGGTTAGGCCAGTTGGCTGGAAGCAGGAGAACCCTTCCTTAAATAAGATTAGCAGGTGAAAGTGGGCCTGTTCTGGTTGAAGTGAAGGTGAGGGCCTGGAGCCTTCCTTGGATGTTAAGGAACCCAGTTGGAAACGCACTGGACAGGATGGGTCTACAGCTTAGGGGCTAGGGTACTCCATTTACCTCTGCTGAGCATATGCTACCTGCCGGGTGCTATGTGCTGGGTGCTGTGCTAGCTGCCTCCCTGCACGGTCCCACTTAACCCTCACAACCACAAAAATTGCAAGGCAGCAATGCTGTCACCACTTCACGAAGAGGGAACTGAAACTTCGAGAGGTTCAGAAAGTCATGCACGGTCACAAGTAAGAGGGAGTGGAACCCAATGGCATACAGAGGGAGCATGGCTCACTGTCGTGGTTTGGCAGTGGCTGAGCCATGCCTGAGACCCGCACTCCGGCTTCCCAGACAGAGGCCTCTTCCTGCAAGGGGGGTCTGCAATGACTGTCCCCACCTCACTCCTTTTGTGGGTAACAGTGGCTGGGTCCACAGTCCTAAGCCCTCTCACCTGGCCTGGCCTCCAGAGGCAGGATCCTTCATTCCAGTTGCGGACCCTGTGCCAAGCCCCTTCCCCCTTGCCCTGCCCTCACCCCCAGCTGTTAGGGCTGTTACACCTCTTTGGCCCTTGCTTTAACCTAGGGCAGGCAGCTGGGCTGGTTCCCCCATTATACAAATAAAGAGATAGAGGCTCAGAGAGGAAAAGGGTTTTACCCCAAACCAGTAAAAAGCAGGGCAGGATTAGAACCCAGGCCCGCTCAGTCCCAATTCCTCTATTTTCATCTGCTGCCTCCAGCAGAATTGGCAGGAGAGATGGGGTCCTAGAGGGGCTCTTCCCACCGACACAGGCTACGATGCAAGCCACTGCCTCTCCCCTGGCTTCAGTTTCTCTCCCTGGACAATTGTAACAGCAGCTGCCACTGATGTCGGGCACTACACGTACACTGTCGCCTTCGGTCCTCATACCCAGGCACGTCTGTAGCCCCTCGGACAGTGGTGCTCGCAGGAGGATGAGAGAGAGGGTTGAGCAGTGAAAGCCTCTGACTGGACAGGCTGTGGCTACACGCTCCCTCTGCACAGCAGCCACTCAGCCCAGGAGATAGAAGGCACTAAGCCTCACTCTAGCAGGTTCTTCAGCTCTGCACACTTGCCCCCCTGCCCCATCTTCCCCCCACCTGTTCCTCCCCCTGGTCTTCAGGGAGGGGTGGACCAGGGACCTGCCCACCTTGTGGACTGGGGGTGGCTGTGGAGGGAGCAACAGGATAGCATTACTAGCCCTACATGAAACTTTAAAGGGGCAGCCACTTGATCTGCACTTGGGCTCGGAGCACAGGCAGGGAGAAGGGGTGCTATTCTCCCCTGCCCCCCTATGTGGGCCCCTCCTCTCCCGCCCCTTTCTGCTGTAGAGTCCAATTTGAGGATTAAACCCGGCCCAGGTGCATCCTGGGCTTGGTCCCAATTGAGGCAGGACAGAGTGTTCCAGTGTCTGGAACTGAAAGGAAGATATTAAGTTACCTCACACCCCCTTTGTTCCCCTGGTGAGCTTCTCACCGCAGAGGTTCATTACCACCTAGGGCCTCCTCTTCCCTGCTAAGCTGATCTGCCCATACCCACCCTTCCTGGGGTTTAAACAAACACCGAAGACACACAAAAAGGCCCTAAGATTACCCTTTGGTTCCCAAAGGTGATTATACAATGTGCCTCTTAAGTGCCAAATGGCCCCTTATGAGCTCCTGCTTATGTAACACAGCCCAACTCTCCCCCTCCCCCACTAGAGAGGGGGCCTCTCAGGCCTCGGCTTCGTCCTCTGTACCACAAGGCAGTATTTCCTGCCCTCCTCACATACGTTGACGCAACTCTCACTGTAGTGCAATGCAAACTGTGAAGAGCTGTGCACACGTGCTGAGTGGTCACCACTGAGCCACGGAGGCAATGGTGGTGACAGCTGATAGAGGGAGCAGGAGTGTAGATTGAGACCCGCCTGGGTAACTGTGCTTGTGATGCTCCCAGGGCACAGTGGACAAGGTCTCTGCTCAGCCCTGCACAGTGGACACCTCTCCCTGGGCCCCTGTTCTGTGCTAGGCCTGGACGTTAAGTGGAAAGTGCTGAGCCTGTCCTCACTAAGTGCCGGACACACGTTCCCTTATGCCATCCCGTCACTCCAGGAGGTAAGCAGCCTTATGTCCATGTTATGGTGGAGGAAACCGAGGATGGCAAGAGGAAGGTAGCAGAGCCAGGAGGTGAACTCAGGCCTTTGTAACCTCGTCACTGGCTTGGTTCAAGTGGAACGTGTACTTCTGTGTGTTGCTGGGGAAAGAAGAGCTAAGCATCCGGAGTCCTAGGGCCACGCTCCAGCTGCCGTCGGCCGCTGGGACAGGTAGGTACCAAGCTTTCTAATACTCAGTGGCTCTGGGGCTTTCCTGAGGTCATAGCGGAGCTCAGAGGCCTCACAGGGCCATCCAAGGCTGTTGGGAGAAGAGAAGGAAAAAATCTCTGAGATGCCTCACAAGTTTGGACTCAGAAGGGGGCAGAGGCAGAGGTGTGGGCTAGTGGTCTTTGAGGGTCAGTGCCCCAGTTCTGCTTAGAGGCAATGTCCCCTTTGGGGTAACATAAGGAGGGGTGCCTTCATGTGAGTGTCTCACGAGGCGCTGGGGTCTGGCATTGCTGCTTGGAGCAAAAGATCCAGGAGCCAAGGGGAGGGCAGAACTTTCCCAGGAGGAAACTGAGGGAAGATAAGGAAATCCCCTGCCGGGGGCACAGCCCCTGATAATTTCCAAAAGACCTTTGCTTGTTTGAGCTGTGAGGGCTGCAGAGCAGTGCGTGCAATCCCTCATTTTAGTGATGAGGAAGCTGCGGCCCAGAGAGCATGCAGTGACTTGTCCCTGGGTCCTCAGTGAGGTGATGGCAGCTGATGCTCAGGCTCTGACTCCTGACTCCAGGACCAAGCTTTCCAGCCCACTCAAGATGCCTGTGGAATCTCCCAGGGATCTTATGGAGTCAATAAAAATAATGCTTGGAAGAGTCTGCAACCTCATGGAGGAGGGGGCTGATGCCATAATTCTAGAGATCATAAGGAGAAATTGCATGCTAAGAAAAGTATAACCATGCATTAAAAAAAAACAATGTAAATCGTGATTTTAGAAAGTCTAGAAGAAAATATGTCAACTCAGTAGTGGTCTTTCTTTAGATGGTAGAACTCTGAGTGGTTTAACCATGTCTTAATCTCCTTTTCTCCTCTCATTTCCTCTCAAGTATCTATATTTGGAAGTAATGTATATTCCTATATTAGGAAGTAATGAAGCTTCCTAATAGGACTGCCTCATGGCCATCTCTGCTTTCTCTGATCTTGGCTAGCCACAATCTGAGCCTCAGTCTCCTCATCTGTAAAATAGAGATGTTAAGAGCCATCTCACAGGCCTGTCACGAGGATGAAACATAATGGTGGGAGTAAGGCAGGGTTCCCAGCACAGGCGAAGGGTGCAGTGTGGACCCCCTGCCTCCCTCCACAGATGGGAGCGGGTGGGGTGGGGATAAGTGGGTGGGCCTGACCCCATCTCTCTTGCTCCTTCCTCCAGCAAATATGTATCAAACATGACAAAGCTCTTACCACTGCCCTGCTGGAAAGCAGTTCTTTCCTAGGAAGCCACACTATGACTATGTTGTTTCTCAACAGGGCTGCTGGGTCTGGGAAGGGATGAGTAATGTGAGTTCCTCTTCACAAAAACCACTAGCCTCAGCTCCACGGAGAGGAGAGGCCTTCTTAGAGAGTGAGAAGGCCTTGGACACCAACTTGCAGTGCGAACAGGGCAAGTCACTTTACCTGGACCAGTTCCTTCAGCTGTGAACCTGGGATGCTAACGATGGTCCTATCAGGCTCAGAGAGGATGGCTGTGAAGATCAGACTGAGAAGACCAATGCCCCAGTAGAGAAATGAGGCCCCAAGTGGTAGAAGCCACATAATGGAAACACTGTACCTTTTCATTCTACCTATAATACCCACAGCCACTGCAGACAGAATTAATCAACCACAGCACTAAATCGCTAAGTGCAAGGCAGTGTGCTAGGCCCTGTGAGGTGTATGTTGGGGTCAGGGTGGGAGATCCCAGGGCCTCTGTCCTCATGGGGCTTACAAATCTGCAACGGGGACAGGAGAACAACTCATAGCAAAATCACTAGCACCTGCCGTAGACCCAGGAGATCAGGACTCTAGTTCTGGATCTGCTACTAACTGTGTGACCTTCACAGTTTTCTTTCTTTCCTGGAGCCTCAGTTTTCTTTTCTGTGTAGTAGTGACTCTGCCTCCCTCCCTCCCTCTGGGACCCTGTGATCTACCCTCGGGAGAAAGGGAAAGGCAGACAGGTATTCACCATGCAAGGCCAGGGAGGATCTCTGGCCCAGGATACATCACTTACTTTCCAAACCCTGACCTGCAGGTAAAAGGCATCTGCTGATCAGCCAGGTTACAGAACACAAGGGCAGCAGGACAAAGGCTTAGTAACTGTACCCACCCCTGGTTAGGGGGATATAGCATAAGGTCCTCTGGGCAAGGGCCATGAGCTATTCCTTGTTGGGCCCACTGTGACTCTAAGGAAAGTTTACAGATGGCCCGTGAGGTCAAAAGAGTCAGTGGTGTGGCCCTAACAGGCCCCAGGCAGGTCTCCCCACTGCGACACTCCAGACCGTGCTATGAGAACCTCTAAAACAGCTTTGGCTACATCATCCCCCCTCTCAAAAACCACCTGACTTCTACTTTACCCACAGAAATCAAGTTCCCTCGGGCACAGAGGTATCTGCAAGTTGTCCCCACCTTCCTCCCTCCTTCGGCTGAACTCCCCTCTTGATTTGAACCCATGGTGGTGGCCTTTGGGCAACTCTCAGCCTCTTCTCATACTTTTCCAAACTCAGAGAATTCCAGGGCTGGAGAACTGGAAGGCCCCTCAGAGATCACGACTAACTGAGGCCCAGAGACGGTCAGTGATTGCAAGTAAACGGCAGAGCAGGACCCAGGACCTGGGTTCTGATGCCTCACACTATTGCCAGGACTGCCGCATCCCCAGGCCTGCTCTGGCCCTGCCAGTGGAACAAAGCCCGTTCTGTCCACTCAGGCTCCTGGGCCACGCCCCCCTCCTTTCCTTGCTCCCCGGGCTGGGCCTCTCACACCACACTATCAACACACCTCCTTCAGACACACACTCGGTAAATTCTCTGCCTCTGCCGTTATTTACCCACCCGTTTCCTGACTTGAAGTGCGAGCAGCTTGGGGCAGTGACCCTGCCTTCTTCACCTGTTCATCCCTTCCCCTACCTGGGGCCACAGCCAGGCCTGGCAGGCCTGGCAAACACGCTGGATGAATGAGAGCCCAGAATTTAGAGTCAACCACGGGACTCAGACCCGGCTGTGAATTCAGCTCTGTACCTACTAGCCTTGGGCACGTCTCAACCTTGATGAGGCTCCGTGTCCTCGACAGGGGCGACAACACAGGGTTGGTGAAAGCATTAGGGGACAGCGTGTGAAACAGTCAGCTCGACTGCCACACCTTGAGTGCTGAATGCATAGTAGACAATGATGGTGATGATTTACTAAGCTTCCTGAAGGCAATGACTGTGTTATTCTTTGCTCTGTTCCTCCCTACCCAGCTACCCAAAGAGGTGTCAGCACCCGGCGGGTCTGTGACTACCTGCGCTAACATCCTCTGGTCACCATGCTGGTGTCTGCTGACAAGGCCCCAACCTCCCTCCTCCTCTGAGGAGGGCTCCCTGGGGTTAGGGATTCCAGCTCGGGTCCTCCTGGCTCCAGCTGCCTGCCCGTGATGCTGTATCCCAGCATCTCTGGCCCCTAGATTTGCCAGCTCTTCACCACAACTTCAAGGGGGAGTCCCTGGCCAAGGGGCGAGGTGGGCAGGGGGCCGAGCTCCCACCTGAGATGGGCTCTGTCTCCACCGGCTGCTCCATGCTGAGATGCCTCCAACCCTACTTATGTTCATCGTGAGCTCCCTCAAGCTGACGCCAACGAAATCCCCAGGTGGAAATTCCATTAACGTCCTGGCCCCCAGTGGCTTAGTCAGTTCTGGAAACGCAAGGCAAAAAGAATGTCAGGGCCAAACTCCCGGAGCCTTGTGGGTCGGCTCCCCCAACAGAAGCTCTAATGCCGCACATCTGTATAAACACGTCAGCTTGCCACGCACTTCTACAGCACCATCTCGTTTCTGCCTCACCACAACCCTTGACCATGGGGATTACTGTCCCTGTTTTGCAGACTGACATTCAGCTGAGGAGGAGAGGAACCAGGTCTCAAACCTACGTGTCTGAGCTCCAAATCCAATGCTCCTTGTATGGCTGTGCCCCAACTTACAAATGGGCACGTGTGGATCATGCTGGACTATAATTACACTTACCTGTCTGTACTCCTGTGGGCAGGAATGGGGTTAGGTTCACTTTTATGTCCTTGAGCTTGGGTGCCGGGTCTGGCACAGAGCAGGTACTGTATGAAGATATACCAGGTATTTAGAATACTACCACCTCGCCAAAGGATACCTCTCAACCTTCCCAATGCCTCCTCAACTCTTATCTGTTCAGTCACCCTGCAAGATCAGCAGGTTACATGGCATTGTATCTATTTTACATCTGCGTAGAGACCCAGAGAGGTTCGGTGATCTGCCCAGAGTCACACAGCCAGTGAGGTCAGAGGCTGGACTCAGAATCCAGGCGTTCTGACACCAAGTGCCTAGCCTCCTCCATGACATCATCCCTGGAGAATAATCTACAGGGAAACAGACAAGGCTCCCAATACTATTTTCTCCATTCTGAAGCTTCGCAAGTTCCCTTTGGTCTGAGGCATGTGTGGACACACGGGCAGGCAGAGGAAATGGGTTTTACGGTCAGGCACACCAGGTTCCAGCCCCACCATACCTCACCTGCCAGGAGCCCCTCTCCCCTCTGAGTCTGAGTCTTCATCTGTAACATGGTGAGAAACCTAGTACTGCTCCCAGCAGGCCACTGGGGTGATTACACAATGTAAAGCGAAGACCCAGCCCTGGGCCCGGCACACACTGGTGCTCACTGCATGTGGGTTCCTGACCCCTAATGGGTGATTTCAGGGGCCAGGAAAGAAAAAGGAGCCATGACACCAGCAGACCTGAAAGCAAGGCAGGGGCAGAGGATAGAGAAGACTACAAAATGGATTCTTCCTTGGATTCTCTCCCAGTGCACCACCCAGGGTCCCGCTTGGGCTACAAGCACTGACCAGGCTCTACCAAGGAAGTTGGTAAGGGAGTTTGGAAAGGTCGCAGAGGCCAAAGCAGGCTGAAAGAGTTGTGTCACCTGTGACAGAACGAGACTCAGCAGCTACCCCTGAGTGGGTGGCTCACTGTCTTCCCCCCCCCCCCCCCCCCCCCCCCCCTTGCACAAGTCAGGTTCAGGAGACCTCCTGGCCTGGATTGCTCCAACAGCCTTGTTCCTGGCCCTCTGCTTCCAACTGCCGGCCATGTTGGGCACCAGAGTACAATCCCGACAGAAGACCAGGACCCCATCACTGCTCCTGGTTTAAAACCTATCCTGCAAAGATAGCTTGCCAGTCTAGAGGCCCGTCTTGCTCATCGGGCCCCACATCTCTGCACAGGCTGTTCCCTCGGATGAAGATGACAGAGACACCCTACTTTTCTTTGTTTTCCATGCAAACTCTCACTCATTCGATTCAAAAGTCACCTCCATGTATAAGTATCATGTCATCTTCAAACAGTGACAGTTTTACTTCTTTTCTGATTTGGATTCCTTTTATTTCTTTTTCTTCTCTGATTGCTGTGGCTAAAACTTCCAAAACTATGTTGAATAACAGTGGTGAGAGTGGGCAACCACATAGCTGATTCACTTTGTTATACAGCAGAAACTAACACAACACTGTAAAGCAACTATACTCTAATAAAGATGTTAAGAAAAAAAAAAAAGTCACCTCCTCTGTGAGGTCTTCCCAGTCTAACCTGCCCGTCATCCAGTAAAAGGTCACCCTCTCCCTGGGCTCCAGTGGCCCCGTCAAGATATGACACACTGTGCTGTGTGGCCATCTCCAAATCTGACCGTCCATCTCCTCTCCTATGTGGGGCCTGGCCATGCGAACGGGATAAGCCAGATGAGTGAAATGTCCTAGGCAAAAAGCTTCCCTCTGCTTAGGAGAGGGTACCAGTGGTCCAAGCTGGCAGGATACTTAGGGCTTTCCCGGGGAGGCAGGGGCGATATCAAGTTTAGAACCATAGTAGATGCTGGCTCTGCCTTCTATTGTCAGTGCAATCCAACAAATGTCTGCATGATGTAATACAGACTACAAATCTCTTCTCATTTTATTAGCACATGTAATTCATTATCCTATTTAACATTCACAACAGATCAGTCAGACCGGAATTACTAACCTCTTTTGAAGGATGAGGAGACTGAGAATCAGAGAGGTAGAGTTACTTGCCTAAGGCCACAGAGCTAGGAAGCAATGAAGTAAGTGAAAATAAGTGAAAATCTCCTTCCGACTCTAAGAGGCTGGAGCACTTAGCCTCCAGATTGGTCTCCCAGGCTCCAGCACCACCCACAAGCCAGAGGAAGGTTTCCTAGAATTACCAACCCCACCCTGTCATGCCAGCTTAAAAAACCCTCTAGCAGCTCTCCACTGCCTAAATCCCAGCTCCTAGGTCTGGCATTCAAGGCCCTCATATTTGGCCCCTGCCTTCCTTCCCAGCCTCAAATTGAATTCCAACCCTCCCTCTCCAACCTTGCATCTGACAGTCCACAATGCTGAACACCCCTGCGCTGTTTCAGAACACACAGAGCTGGGCAGGGCAGTTCCCTCTGTGGGAGATACCTCCTGCCTCCCTCCCAGGTGTATTCACCTGGCTTCCCCAGCCTGCTGCTTTCCAGCCTTCCCTTCCTGGGCTGCAGGGGCTCCAGCCCACCTTACTTCATCCCTACCTAACTTCAAAGCCACCTCCCCTCTCCCTCTTCAAAAGAGAAAATTAGTGCCTGGGAATTGGTCAAGTCAGAATGGAGGTGTTAAATATCAAAGTGTTTCCAGGTTCTAGGATCTCAACCAGTCAGCCGGAACAGGAAGGGAGGAGAGAGGCTGTCAGCACCAGCCTTTCTAGAAGGGAAACTGAGGCCCAAAGAGGGAAAGGAAAGTGCCCACGGTGAGGCGAGTGGCTTGTGCCCATCCTTCACGTCTGCAGCATCAAGCAAAATTCTAGGTTAAAGACTGGGGTGGGTGGGGGTAGGGGCAGGGGAGGGAAGGTGTTAAAGGGTTATCTTTGCCACCCAGGATCAAAAGGAGGCTCCCGGCAGCCTGAGCCCTCCTTCTCAGGTCAGACCTGAGCTCTGCAAGTCTGGACTTATCCGAAGGGTAGAGCAGGCAGGGAGGATCAGAAGCTCCTGAGTCACCCCCTCACCCAGGCCAAGTGTGGGCGGGCACTGCACCTCAGGCCGTCTCTGCCTGCGTTGGTTATCGCCACCGCACGCTCTGCCCCGCGAGGGAGTTCTCACCCACTTCCATTACAAGGTGATTGCGGCACAGAGAGGCTGAGCAACTTGCCCAGTGCCATATTGTGGGCCAGTGGACATCCCATTCGAAACTATAGTGTGTGCAAGGTTCCTCCTCCCAGCAGCCCAGCTGGAGGTCCCGGGAGCCGGCGCCGCGGGCAGCCGTCGTTGCCTTCTCACCTACGGGATTGGAGGGCTCGACACCCCTCGCCCCCGCCCCCCACCCGGGGCAGGATACAAACGGAGAGCGGATCTCAAAGCGGAGCCGGGGGTTAGTGGCTGGCCTCTCCGCCAAGCAGACACATCTCTCTCGGTCACATACACTCTCTCCGAGGAGCGTGGGGCGGGCAACACCAGCTGCCCGCTCCTCTCCTCTCTTCAGCCCCCGATCGGGGGCCAGGACCGGCTGCTTACCTCTCTCCTCCCAGCAGTTTCGGCTGGCGTGTGCGGCACGCTCTGCCCAGCCTCGGCTCGGGTCAGTCCTCAGGCGCTGCCGATTGCCCCACCCACCAATCCTGTCCCATCCCCTCGCGGCTCTAAGGACCCCTGGAGGTGAATGAGGGGAGGGCTGCCAGAGCCCCCCGCCCGGACTGCAGGGGGGAGGAGGACGGGCGCTGTTGCCGAGGAACCCGGAGAAAAGTTTGAAGCCAAGTCTGGGCCCGGGTGGACAGCAGGGGAGCGAGGAGTTGGGGCGGTGTCTGGCTCTCGGCGCGCACATACTCCACGGACACCCAACCCAGACACGTCGACAGGCACAGACCACGTACGCGGACACAACGATGCGCCCACCAGCACTCACAACCAAACGCGGGCCCACGAAACGTGGACACAGGCGCAAAACAGCCTCCTCAAATCACGGACATTCAAAGGCACAGGCAGATGCATGTCCCCGGACCAAATTCACAAAGACCCACAAACGCGAGATGCACGTGTCCGCACAAAGCCCCCAGAGGCGCCGGCCCACGCCCACGGCCCCCGGTCACAGCCTTTGTCTCCTGGAAGCCCCCTTCTAGGTCCGGGTTCCTCACTCTGGCCGAGTCCCGGGCGTCAGGCCGCCGCTGCCCACGCCCTGGGTCCAGGAAAAGTTGAGGGGCCCCGGCCCCGCCCCTGGGTCCAGCGCCGTCCGCTCGCGGGATGGAGCTGTGAGGTTGGGGTGGGGGGGCTCCTGTCCCTCGCCCGCTGCGCGGACTCCCGCTCCTCCCGGGGACCCGCACCCACCTGGAAGCCTGCGCCGCAGCCGCCTCGGCACGCTCACCCAGGCGGCCCGGTCGCGGGCCCTCTGGCCGGCGCTTTTCTCAGAGCGGCGCGGCCCGCCCCCCAGCCCTCCGGCCCCCGCCCGCCGCTGGGCGCTCCCCGGCCCGCCCCGCGCCCAGTGGCGGCTCTGGCCAGCCGCTGGGCGATTTAGGGAGTGTCGCCAAAGTGCCGGCCTTTCCCGGCGCGTTCCCCGCTCCGCCCCCCGCCCGCCGGCGGAGCCCTAGCCCAGCCCGGGTTCCACCATAGGGAGCGTCTCAAAAGTGCGCACGCAGCTCCCGCCCACTTCAGTCGGCCTTGCTCCCAGCTTCTTGCATCCCGGGTCCCTGCCCCCTTCCGCGGAGCGCCTGAGCCATCTCAGCAGATGGCCGCACTGTCGGGAACATCTGGAGGTCACTGGAGTGTGTGTGTGTGTGTGTGTGTGTGTGTGTTTGTGTTCAGAGAGAGAGAGAGAGGCAGAGAGAGAAAGAGATTGGGTGGTGAGGCTTCCCTCTTCTCGAGTTCATCCCCCCGTTTTTTAAAACGGGTGACAGAGGTCCAGAGACGTTAGTGAGAGGGAGTCCAAGAATCTGAAGCAGGGAAAGACTGGCTGAAAGACGAACCGACAGAGAGGAGAGAGCCAGGCTTGGGCAGAAGAGCTGGCAAGAGAGGAGAGAGAAAGCAACAGACTTTTTTTTGTGTGTGTGGAGGGAACCATCGACTTCTGGTTGGATTTCTAAGAAGGGAAACTGGGAGTGTGACTGACTAGGCAGCAGTTTTTAAGTCGATTCCTCCCCCCACAGCCCATCCTCTCTCACCCCTCTTTATGGTAAAAAGTGCAGGAAAGCATCCAAAAAACCTTTTTTACATGGGGGTTGGGGGGAGAAATTGCCTGGTGAATGCATTCCCTAGAAGGGGCTTGGGAGGGTGGTGAGTTTGAGTCTCCTTGTCCACACACCGAGACAGTGTGGGGTGAGGGAGGGGACAGTTCTCAGGCACCCCAGAGGTATGTGGCCTGGGGGCTGAGGGAGATTTTGGCCTTGAACCCTGGGCCTCCCAAGAGCTTTCGTGCTGTGCAGAGATTGGGCAGTGTTCCCCTTGCAGTGGCCCAGACTTGCACACCCAGTCTTTTTGCTCCTTCTTTCCTTATTACTTTTTTTTTTAATTAAAAAAAGTTGCTTGGCCGTGTGCGTATGTGTCTGCTTGTCTGCCTGGGGAAGGAGAGGCAAGTAGGGAGGAGGGGAGGTAGGAGTAGAGGCCACTACCCTAGGCCTCAGGGCAGCAAAAACAAATCTGCCTCCCAGAGAACAAAGTGCTCTTGCAGGTCCTAGCTGGCACTAGTCTGTGTGGTTGTGTGATTGTGGTGACTCTGCTCACCTGGGCCGAAACCTGGGAGCCCTGCCAGTTAGGGAGGTGCAGGAAGAAGGCTGGGAGCCCCGTCTTATCAGTTTAGGACAGGGAAAGCTCCCCTCTCTCCTTTCTGTCTACCATTGTCCTCCCCTAATTAGAATCTCAGCTTCTAGAACTGGGAGGCCACCAGCTCAGATGTCTCATCCAACCATCTTTGAAATTGCACCATAGGCCCCTTTGCACCCTGTCACCTCCTCACAGTCATGCTTAATAAAGGGGCCGCTGAGATTCAACTCTGCATCCCCTAGTGGTTCTCTGTGCATCCTGGGGCCCTCAGGAGGGGTTAGAGCCCTTCCTGCTCTTACCTACCAGCCCAGAGGGGAGAAAGACCCAAAAATCAGTGCTTGGTGAGGGCCCCAAGCTTGGACAGGGTTCAGGTTCCAGCCCTGCCACTTACCAGCTCTGGGTAATCTTAGGGAGGTTACTTAACCTCTCTGAGTTTCTGCAACTGTAAAAGAGCTGTTGTGAGGGAGGAGTAAACAGTAACTTAGTAAAGCATTAGTCTGGCTCATAGGAAGCACCATTGTGGGCTGTTATTGCCATTTTTATTATACCAAGTTGTCTCCAGTCAGGGATGGGGTAGAGTCCGGAAAGCTGAGCAGGCTTGGGAGGGGAGGAGACAGAGGAATGGTCACCTGACCCTCTGCTGGGCTGGTCCACCTGCTGGCTATGTCCTGCCCTCCTGAGGCGGAGGGGGCTGTCTTTCAAAGGAACCCCTGCCCCCCTCCTTTGCCCTGGCCTGGAGAATGTGGTCCTCCCCTCCCTTGTTGTGGAGTTGTGGAGCTACGGTCAGGCTCAGCATCTGAGCAATGGCGGTAAATACTCAACTCCCAGGGAACTCAGGGATGCTAACTCCCACTGCCTTTTGTCTGCAGGCGCTAGCCAGCAGGGCTGGAGGCCCCAGGTCCCTCCAAAGGGCCTGTCATGTAACAGAAGCGTGACCAACAACCCTTCACACCTTGGCTGGTGGCTGGCAATAGTTTCAGAGTACTTCTACATTCATCATTTCCCTTGATCTTCCCTAAGTGGGAGGTGGCCTCCAGGGATTTTGGATTGGGAATCTCCATCAGCCCTCTTCCCCTCCCCCACAAGGGTCCCTTGGCCTCCAGTCTCCCCCTCCTGTCTGCTGTCCACGCTGCAGCAAAAATGACCTTTCTAAACTGCAAAGCTGCAAAATGTATCATGACACCTGCTTAAAACCTTTCAATGGCAAAAGCCAAATCCTTAGCTTGGCATTCAAGGCCCATGTGATATGCTCCCCTCACCCCTACCTCTTCAGCCTCATTTCTGGACACTCCCCTCTTATACATCCCAAGCTCTAGTCCTCTAGTCACATAAAACCAGAAGGAGGGAGGTGAGGGAGGGAAGGCTTGGGGAACTGTGGGAACTGGAAAACCTCTGCATTCTTGAAATCTCTGTCCAAATTCCCCTCCCCCAGGAAGCCCAATGCCTGGTGAAGTTGGTCCCTCCTTCTATTATGTTGCCACACCTTTTGTACATATGCACTATCACTTTCCATTCTCTTCACCCTTCTTGTGGTCATCTTGGCTGTTATCTCATGCCAGGGACTGTGCTGGATACCTTTAAGGTCATCACATCATTTAATCCCTATAACAACCACCCTAGATTGATAGTGGTGAGGCCCAGAGAGGGCAAGAGATATGTCTGGGGTTACACAGCATGTTCTCTGCAGAGCTGGAACAATAGTTAGGGCTCTAGTGCTCTTTTTACTACCTTACAATCAACACAAGAAGCAGAATGTGGTGTAGTAGAGAGGCCTTGGAGCCTAAGGGTCCCAGGTGCAAATCATTGCTCTTGCCCCTAGCTACCTATGGACTTTGGGCTAGTCAGTCCCTCCCCCTGAGCCTCAGTTTCCTTACCTGTAAAATGAGAATAAATAAGAAATGCTACCTCACAGGAATATAGAGAGGATCAAATGAATTAATACATATATAAATATGTTGTAAGTTGTAGGGTGTTGTGTACTTTTACTTGACCAGCCATACTTCAAATGGGGGTGTTGGTTGAGGATCTCTTTTCTCTCAGAACTCTCCAGATTGGAGGTCAAAGTCATCATTAGTCCCTTTGGCTACCTTGCTCTTTTCCCACATTTTGAGAAAGCTAAAAGGTCCTTCTTTTCTCTCTCTTATCATAGCTGTCAAGCCCTGACCGGAAAACCCTCCAAATTCAAAGTATTTCCATGAAGCTGCAGGCTTTCTATTCTTCTTGCTGCATTTTCTTCTTTCCAGTTGTCAGAAGCTGGCAGATTGAAAGTTAATAGAGCATCAGGACCATGTGAGGAAATAATGGAAAAAAAGACCAGAAGAAAAATAATGCCAGTTCAACCTCCTTCTGATTCTATAGATCTGGGTTGGCCTGTGATATGTTGTATTTTTTAAAAGCACCTACGGTTGTTCTGATGTCAGTACAGAGATTGGCGGACATGGCAGAATGCCTCAGGGCTTGCAAAGTCTTTCCACACGTATTCCCATTTTTAAACCTCTAAGCAAACTTTTTAGGTAGGCTCTTATCACCTCCATTTAAAAAATGTGGAAACCGAGACTCAGAGGCGACTCATCCAGGGTCACACAGATAGAATGTAAAACTGGCTCTTTGAGACAACTCCAGCCATTCCTCTGCAGGGCCAGATTCCGTGCATAGGCCTTGCTGGTGTCTCAGCAGTCACTGTACAACGAACATTCCTCCCCTCCTGCCAAATCAAATGCTTCCCTAAATATTTCTCTCCCACTCTCCCACCTCCATGCTTTTTCCCCTGCCTGGAATGACTTTCTCAGCCCAATATACCAGCTGCAGTCCTTGCTGTCTTCCAAGCCCTGATACCTCCTCCACAAAGACTTTTCCAGTTCCCACAGTTCCCCAAGCCTGGAAGCACTTGGTGTGTGCTTCGGTGCAGCCCCCTCTCCAGCCCTGCCTCCTGCTGAGACTCGATACTCCAACATCTTCAGCTATTGGGGTTTCCTGCATTCTGGCAGTTCCTTGCTGCCTCCACATCTTTGCTCCTGCTGTGCACCCCCAAGTGCCCCTTGCCCTACCCCATCTCTTACTTGTCATTCAAAATTCAGCTCAGGTTATCACTTCCTCCAGGAAGCCTCCCCTGATCTTCCCAATCCTTAACTCTACCATTGGAGGCCCTTCCTCTGTGCTTCCATGGTACAGTGAGGATATCTCTGTCTTGAACAAGATTGTTCATTCATTCTGGCAAGGCACAGATTTTGGAGCCAAACTGCTCAGGTATGAATCCCAGCTTCAGAGTAGGCAAGTTCTTAAACTTGCCTAGTCCTCTGCCTTACTTTTCTTTTTTTAAATTATTATTTTATTTATTTTTGGCTGTGTTGGGTCTCTGTTGCCGTGCGGGGGCTTTCTCTAGTTGTGGCGAGTCGGGGCTACTCTTCGCTGCGGTGTGCGGGCTTCTCATTGCGGTGGCTTTTCTTGTGGAGCACGGGCTCTAGGCGCGCGGGCTTCAGTAGTTGTGGCACGCGGGCTCAATAGCTGTGGTGCACAGGCTTAGTTGCTCCGTGGCATGTGGGATCTTCCCGGACTAGGGCTCA